ATGCTTTGGAGTATTTCTTGATCTGCTGAAGGATGTCTGACAGCATTGTGTAACAAACAGTTCCTTGATACCAGTATTAGTTCAGTGACAGTCGTACAGTATATCTTATAAAATGCATTGTTAATTAGATATCTAGAATATCTCTTAATCTGCTGAAGGATGTCTGAAAGCATTGTCTAACAGTTTCTTGATACCAGTATTACTTCAGTAACAGTCTTATATATGTATGAACTTGTACATCTATCAAGACAAAAATTTAAACAAATGTAACAAAATGCATTGTTAATTAAATATTTTAAATATTTCTTGATCTGCTGAAGGATGTCTGAAAGGATTTTTAACTTGAACAGTTTTTTGATACCAGTATCACTTCAGTAACATATATATATACATGTATATATACATGTATGAACTTAAAAATATATCAGCACAAAATGTAAACAAATCTAACAAAATGCATTGTTCATCAGATATTTGGAATATTTTTTGATCCACTGAAGAATGTATGAAACCATACAGTTTCTTTATACTTGTGGTTCTTCAATAACATTGCTATATGAAGTTACTTGTCTATGATTTAAGCTTGAGTACTGTTAGTTGTGACTGCATGATGTTACTTTGTTGCAGTGTTAAATGAAGTAACAGGTGAATGATTTAAGATGGAGTACTGGTGGTTGTGATTGATGTTACTTTGTTGCCATCTGTGTAGGTGATTGCTATTTTCTCTAAGAAAAGAAGCTTTTCTTCTATGTGATTTGTGTCTATGTCATCAGGATCATAAGGGCCTAACAACTGTTGCAATACATGATCTCATACTGATAGGTAAAGCTTGGTGCTTTCATTCTTCACAACTATTGGTGCAGAGAGCTTTGTTGGACAGCTTGATACCCTGAGTTTATGATGACAGTGATCACAGTTAACTAACAGACATTGAACTTAATTGATACGTTTTGCACAATGACCACATATCTTGTACTTTTCCACTGACTCAATGCTTTCAATTCTTGAAAGTAGTAGAGTTGTCTCTTGGTATGGGCTTGAGGTGTCTTCTACTTCTAAACCCTCCAGTAGTGGATTTGGTGTTTCCAAGACGACACTGTTAGTTGTGGTTGTCAACTTTCGTACCCCATTCCAAAAGCGCACACTGAGGTTTGTGAATTTGTACACTTTATTTTCTTGAATCTGTGGAATGAGGTTATTCCACACATCTAAGGTAATTTACCCTGTGTTATCAGCTATTGTTGCGTTGGCGACATTGTATTTGGCTTGCCCAACAACTTTTGTTTCACTAAGTTTGAGGACTTTGCAAAAGATTGTCAGTTTGTCTTCTGGTGCTTCATTTGTGTCAGGTTTGACAGAACTGAAATGGACATTCCACGCTGTTTGGTGCTGTCACGTGAGTAATATCGTTGACCGCAAGTTTTGTGTGATCTGCAGTTCTTGTGAAGCGAGCAATTTTAATTGGAGTTCAAGCTTCTTTTTCAGCAAGAATGGCTCGCTTTATTGTTTGGTTGTCCAGGTTTTGACAGAACTGAAATGGACATTCTACTAAAAGTAGTATTACTGATTCCTAGTATTGTATTGTGAATATAGCTTGTTGATTCTTTAATAATAATAATAATAATAATAATAATAATTTATTAGTTGTATAGCCCTATTTACATGTACAGATCAATAGTGCTTTACACTGAATAAAAATTAAAAACCTTATATATCTAAATAAAATTTACAATAGTAATGGTAGCTAAAAATATATAAGAATAAATTATTTAAATATAATATATCTGAGTTAATGATTACTAAAAGCTTCATTAAACAGAAACGTTTTCATAGCTTTTTTTAAATTTATCCAAACACTATATCATTCTAATTTCATAAGGAAGTCTGTTCCATAAGTATGGTGCTGCTGCCTGAAAAGACCGAGCTCCAAATGTCTTCAGCATCTTACCCTTAGGGGGCTCTAAGTAAAGACCGTCATTAGATCGAAGACAATAAGAAGATTTTGATTTAATAGATATAAGGCTGTTAATATATGACGGAGCTAAATTATGAACCGCTTTAAAAGTAAGTAGAAGAATTTTAAATTTAATGCGAGCCTGGATTGGAAGCCAGTGTAACTCATATAGAATAGGAGTAATATGCGAGTACCTTCCAACGTTCAATAGCAGTCTTGCGGCTGCATTCTGTACACGTTGTACTTTAGCTATCAGTTTCTTTGAGGCACCATACAAAAGACTGTTACAATAATCTAATCTATTCGTTATAAACGCATGAACTAAAGTATGGAGACTGTCTTCGTGTAAATATTTCTTAATGCTTCTAATGTTATGAAGATAAAAGAATGCAGATTTGCAAATATTTGTAATATGCTTAGACATGCTTAGGTTAGCATCCAACCAACAGCCTAGATTTTTAACCTCGGAACTATGATTAATTACCGAGTTGCCAACGGAGATACTGGTTGGCTGTAGTTTAGATAATTGTTGTTTGGAGCCTATTAAAATCAGTTCAGTCTTGCTATCATTAATTAACAGTCTATCATGAATCATCCACTTCCTGATCTTTTCAATACAGTTCTCCATTGCTTGCAAGACTTGGTCTTGAGATGTAGTATTAGGTTTAAAACTCAGATATAACTGGGTGTCATCAGCATAACAATGAGCACAAGGAAGCTCGTGTTCAATGATCTTAAAGAGCTTAGATGCATATATAATAAATAGAATCGGTCCAAGACACGACCCTTGAGGAACTCCGCAGCCTAAATCGAATGGGTTAGATATCGATCCCTCGATGTCGACTTTTTGCATCCTGTTATGGAGATATGACTCAAACCAGCTCAGGGCAGAATCAGCAATACCTAATTCTTCGTGTAGACGTTTGATCAGTATATCATGATTAACTGTGTTGAAGGCGGCACTAAGATCCAACATGACAAGAAGAGTGACCTCTTGTGAATTCATCTTCATTAAGATATCTTTAACAACTCGAAGAAGCGCTGTTTCGGTACTATGTCCTTTTCTGTAAGATGATTGCATTTCTGGATAAACAGAATTGTCTATCATGTGTAAATGTAGTTGATTATACACCGCCTTTTCGGTGAGCTTCGATATGTATGGCAAATTACTAACAGGTCTGTAGTTACTAAGAAGTGGATCAAGACCAGCTTTTTTGAGCAACGGCTTAACAAGTGCACATTTCCAGACATCAGCAAACACACCATCCACGAGGGATAGATTTATCATTTTTGTGATCACGGGAAGCAGGACATCAATGCAGTTAAAAACCAGTGAGGTGGGCATCGGATCAAAAGAACAGCTTTTCTTTGCGCTACCTTCGATAAGTTTCCGTACTTCGAGTTCAGAAAGTGCTGTAAATTTACTAAATTTGGGGGTTGGTGACAATGTACAGTTTAAAAGCGGGTCAGTGGAAAGATCTTGAGCCATAACGTCGAGTCTTGTACCAATATCAGTGATTTTTTTAACAAAGTACGAGCCCATCCTATCAGCTAATTCATGTTTATCATCGCAAGGTGGTAACACAGTGTTCTTTTTCCTTTGATTCAAAAGAGTATTCGCAGCTGCAAAGAGCTTTTTTTGGTTTGAACTGTTATCATTAATGAAGTCATGATAGTATTGGCTTCGAGCTTCGTTCATTAATCGATTAGTCGTATTCTTGATCTTTTTGTATGACAACATATCGTCGTAATAAAATTCAGTTGAGCAATAGCAATGAAAGGAGTAACTTGACTGAGTCTAGACGACACAACAATAACATAATGCATCATGCATTGAATTTTCTCCCACTTGTAATGTAAATGTGGAATAGTTCAATGTGTTCCTTTTGTTACGCTTAACTGGGGAAACATTATGAACATATCCAACAAGAGCAGTTCCCAAACTAGTGCCAGAATCTGTAATGTTACCGGTGTTAGTGGCTCTAACAGCACCAATGCCAGAGGTTGTAGCAGCAACTGTAACAATACTAATGCCAGAGGTAATGTCAGTACCTGTAATAGTATGAATGCCGGAGGTTGTGGCAGCAACTGTAACAGTACTAATGCCAAAGGTAGTGCCAGTAGCTTTAAGAGTACCAGTGGCAGAGCTTGTGTGAGGCACTGTAAAAGTGCTAATGCCAGGAGTAGTGCCAGTAGCTTCAAGAGTATGAGTGGCAGAGCTTGAGCAAGGAACTGTAAAATTGCTAATACCAGAGGTCCTGCCAGTAGTTTTAAGAGGGCTAGTGACAGAGCTTGTGTGAGGAACTGCAAAAGTGTTAATGGCAGAGCTGGTGACTGTAGCTTTAACAGTGGTAGTGGCAGAGCTTGTGCGAAGGACTGTAAAAGTGTTGGTGTCAGAGGTAGTCCTAGTACTAGTAACAGTATCAATTTTGAAGCCAGTTCTAGACTGTACATCAACTGGAGGTGCATTTTTGGTGCTTTTTGGCTTTTTTTCCCTGATGACATGGTGAAACAGCAGAATGTATCTGTAAGAAGAAAGAAAATTTTAAATATAATGCTTACAGAGGATACTTATTATCAGAAGCTTCATTCTTACTTTCACTAAATTATTCTGTTTTCTGTGCAAGTGTAATGTGTCACCTACTTGATTTACATCAGGCATAGTGACACATTAAACAAAGACATTGCAAAGACATTGTTTAGCTTAGTTGACCTTTATCAATTGCAACGTACACCCCTTTGCGATAACTGTAATAAGTTTCTGAAACACCTGTAATAGTACTTTGGAGGGGTAGATTACTATATATGTGGTCTAAGAGTGTTCTGTTGTCAGTTGTATATTCATTTATATGCTGCTGATATCCTGATTGTTGAAACATCATTTTCAAAATGGTATGAGTTTGTGAAACATCAAACAAATTAGTGTTAAAGTCGCCCATTATTACTGAGTACCTTTCATGAGCCAATAAATCAATGAGTTCTGACAAGGCCATATACAAATTTTGTAAAGTTACTTTTGGAGATCTGTAAATACCAGCAATAATTGTTATTTCAACTCCATGAAGGTTATTCTTTTTAGGATAACCAAGGGCAAATATTTCCTTACTACAGATTGCCATGCCATAGTAGGGTCTCACCCCTTGCTCTTTGACCACACCATCATTTCTAAATAGTAGCAAGTTATTGATTTGATACACAGCATCATCCTCAGGACGAAATTGCAAGAATCCGTAAACGGAAACGTGGCGGAAACATGCAACTCCATGTTTCCGTTATGTTTACGTAAAAGTGGTCCGGTTCCGTTGTATACGCAGCAACGGAAACGCGAGAAAACGTCACGAAACCGGTAACGGAAACACAGGTTATCCGTCGTGTTTCCGGAACGGTTTAACATGTTTCTGCCACGTTTCCGTTTACGGATTCTTGCAATTTCGTCCTGTGATCATCCCACGGAGAAAACCTAGTTTCACAGATAATGTTACAATCAGAAGCTTGTAAATTGAAATCATTTTTGAAGTCCAAGAAGTGCCGATGTAAGGATTGGGCATTAAGAAAAGAAATTTTGATCATGTCATTAGGAATATTGTAGATGAATTTCAAAGAAGGTGAAAGTTGTGCTTTATGTCTTAATCTATGCATTTCACCTTTTACGTGGTTGCTCACAGATATTTTGTTTTCACTTAAATTGCGTATATGGAGTCCTTCTATTGACGTAACCCTACTGAGGGCTACATAATGGATATGAGGAATTGTTCTGGGGCTTTCCAAATCTACAAAAATTTCTCTTTCAGTGTCACCTTGAGATCTAGGAACAGTTTTAGCTGCTGCTGGGCGTAATGGAAATCGTTTCCTCACAACAGAAGCAGTTTTATTTCTGCCAACATTAAACTGTGTAGTTATGGGTTTCACTGGTGTCCATGCCTTATTAATGCCTTGAGTATATAGTTGCATGTTTTCTTGACGGGTTTTTCTACCAATACACTGCTGATCAAATTGAACCCAGATAACTCCATGTGGATGTGGAGGATTATACAGAGTTACTTTTTTAACAGCATTACCAGCGCCGTTAGTTATGCCATCATCAAGATGAACATTTAGAGCAATTTCTGTCCTTTCACCAATTGTAATACACAAGTGAGTACGTAACTGCTTTGTTCTTTTTGGGTCATCCACTGGGATCTGTTTTAATATTTGCTCCTTAAGTTTTTCTGTATGAGCACCTATCACACTGTCGGTTGCCTGTATAACAAATTTTGGACCAGGTGCTTTATTGTGCATTAATAAATTGAATTCTTCTACTCTTTTATTTTGTATAAATAAATGAGGAATATGATTCAATGCTTCAGATTCAGTTTGGCTGATACAAATCCTCTTTTTTAGTTTATTAATATCTTCGTGAGTGTGAAGGCCTTCTCTGAGGCGATTGAGAATCTGTGCAAAAGTTTTGCTCCCCTTCTGTCTCATAATTTCTTGCAGCTCAAACATCTTGAAGTGTTTGTTCCACAAGTTGTATGCTAAAGGACCATAAGGTGTTTCAAGAGAATCAAATACATAATGATCAAATACTGGCTGAAGTTGAAACAAATCTCCAATTGCAGCAATAGAAACACCTCCAAAATCTAATTTATTACCCATTATATCCTGGAGACGTTTGTTAATTTGTAAGTTGAACATGGAACTTCCAACCATTGAAACTTCATCCAAGAAAATTACCTTGAGAGCTGCCAACTCTGCTCGTAAAGTGTTTAGCCGGCTTGAGTCAAGAGACTTATAGTTCTTGAGATTTTGATTTGCTGGAATATTAAATGTGCTGTGTATGTGCAAAATATGATAAAAAAAATTATTTTTGTTCTTTGTTAAGGGAGGAGACAAGTTGCCGATATTCTTCATCTGGTAGTTCATTTAAAATAGCCTCATTTCCTACATGTGCTGAAGGAATGTGAAGGTCTTCACTGAGATCATAAGATTCTACAACATCTGGTTCCTTCTCTACAAAGCCTTGTACAGAATCCTGCTCTTCATTGTGTTGTGTAGCTGGAGCTATGAGGTCCCAGGCATCATCTCTGTCATTCATTTCAAAACTTTGAACAGCTTGCTCAAGAGCTTCTTGGCAAACAGCATATTGCTTCATTTGTGATTCTATTTGATTTTTGCAACTCTGATATCCTTGCTTGAAAGATCTATATTTAAATTAATTAGATTCATCTCCCCAGCAGGTAAAAAGCATGAGTAGCTCTCTGAAATGGTTTTCTTCATCTATTTCTTTGTTAAACCTAAAAGACCTTTTTACCCTAGCTTTTTTCCTTTGTTTGTGTTTTTGGTTAGTATCGCAAGGTTGATTTTCTAAGCAATCTTGTAAATTGACATCATCATGATCTTCTAGTGGAAAGCCATCTGAATCTACTAATTCGCTAAAACTATTCTTTGAAAATGAATTTGTGTTATAGTATAAGGCCGCAAAGTCAGCAAGGGTCATATTCTCAAGAGATAACGGCCTTTGAGAATATTTGGATATCAAGCTACTATAATTAACATCTTCACAGTCATCACTCATTTTATTGATCTCTTCCATTGATTTTAAAAGATGCAGTCTCTCACTTGCAGGGCTTGTATTAACAAATACAACTTCTCTGGAAGAGCGCCTCATAGGTAATTGAAGTGCTATGTAGACTTCTTCTTGTGCACTTATTTCGACAGCATTCAGAAATTTTCCTCCAATGTCACGCACCTGCTGTTGCACTGTGCTCTTTCCAAACTTAGCCTCTTCACACGCTGTTCGTAACAAGTCACTTATTCCCCTTTGAGCTTTACCTATGTAAGAAACATTGCACAAGCATAGACGTCTAAAACAAATTGAATGTCCATATTTGCTTTCCATGCCAAAAGACAACTAGTGTTATAATTATTGATTCTTAACTCATCCGCTCGTCTTTTCAGGAAAACTGTTGGAGAATTCAAAGATTATCTCAAACCAAAATATAATCTGCTTCACTGATGTTAAGTTCATCTAAGAGCTCATCAAAAGTAACACATTTTCCTTCTTTCATGTCATTTAACTGGTTTCTAATTCTGTGCAAAGATGCATTATGTACTTTTTTTGTCTTTATCTAATTCATGATTTAAGGGATACAGTATTACAGTTTCACGCATAGGTGGCTGAGGATAGTTAAACCTGCAGATATTACAATTTCTTTTTTTAAGACAAGTGCGAGAGTGGTTGTGGTACTGTCGATTAACTAGTTCCTTTAATTCTTGCCTGTCATCAGTTGGTTTTGCACATGTAATAATGGAATCTATGTAATGTATCACATGTGCATCAGGATTAACTCTAAATTTTGGAACATCCTTTATCCATATCAGCATATGAATATGGGGAGAGCCACGTTGCTGAAATTCAACTCTATAGAACCAATCCTCAACTTGTCCTAGAGGAGCACAATCACTCAGCAGAAAGTCTCTAATGAATGTCTGAACTTGGTAGTCAAATTGACGAGCACACGTGACTGGGTCACTTTGAATGAGCCTACATTTCTCCTCCCAAGTCATATTCTCAAGCTGTTCATTTGTGTAGTCTATAGTATCAACAAGTTTCCCTAACATTTTCAACAGATGAATCCATTTAGTTTCTGCAGCAGAAAAACTACCAAATAATGTAGCTGGTCCTAACTGTCGAATCATTGCCAACAGATCTTTCTTTGCCTTTTCAAAGTAGGGAGGTGATCCTCGAATTGAGCGTAAGAATCTGTACCCTTCATCTGCATGCATGAGTTTCTCAAGTGCACCTTCTTTTTTCAGCTGACCTGCTGGTATTCTATTAGATCCTGTTTTGTGTTTTCTTAATGCAACCTGTGACTTTCCAAGAAGAATTTTCATTTGTAACTTTTTAGTTTTGAAAAATATGTACTCCACACACTTGGCAGCTCTTCTGTCTGTACGTCTAAGCTCTGACTTACAAATATCACTTTAATGAACGGGAAGACCCCTTTCATTGTTATCTGCTCTTCTGCCACAGAAGATATATGGATAAGCAAGTTCTTCACAGTACTTATCTTTAAAAATGCCTAAAGGTTTATTACCCTCTCCTGGGGCAACATTAAGCACCCTTTCACGTTCTGAATTATCCATGAAATTTGGAAACTTAACATTGTGTCTATTACACCAGCGATGAGTTGTGAATCATCTACTTCAACCCAATTTTTTCTGGAATTGTCTTTATTGAGGTTATTGCCCTCTAAATGTAAATCAGAATCATTAGATTCAGAAATGTTTTCAGTACCTATGCTTTCATGGATATGAGAGTTTTCAAAGTCTTCCAACCACTGAGTGTTGATCTTGATATTTTCTTGTTTATAAAGCTCACCTGTGTGAATCAGCCACTGAGCAATTTGGATAACTCTGAATGGTCTGAAAAGCATCACATTCGACATTCCTGTCCAGCAGTATGCAAGAAGCTTGTCACCATAGACCCAGTTAAACAGCCAAGCCTGTCACGAGTCTCCGATAGCACAGTGGCAGAGCATGCGCAGTACTTATCAGAAGGTCATAGGTTCGACTCCTGTTGGGAGCACTCGGATTTTTTTTCTGCGGAAATCCTGTGTCATTCATTAAGTAACATCTTTTAATATTTTTTCTGTTTGTACAGGGTCAATGTAGATTCTTATAAATTCCTTCTGGAGATGGGTTTTTCCAGCTGCATGGCCACGCAGGCCTTGAAACAGGCGAACAATGATATCAATAATGCGCTGCAGGTAAGGCAACCCATGTCCTTTTCAGTAGTAGAGAGTTTTGGCACGACAAGAAAAGATTAGAGGCTAAGTTGTCTCTTAAATTAGGGTTTGAGAACAATATGCGTCGATCGATTCGAAGCTTCAACACCCCCCTTCCTTCCCCAAACCGGGAAACCCAGAGGCATTTGATCGTGTTTCGTATCTCACTGGGAGGGAATTTGAACCTTGCCTGCTTGGGGTGGGAAATTTGAATCGGAGCTGTTACGTCTGCCAACGGAATACACGTTTTATCTTTTAATATGGGGATATCTAAAGCAAACAGTTCACTTTCGCGAGCAGTTGACTCTGAAGAATAGGTCAACAAGAAAGCCACGTTCCCTGTCTCGCCTTTTACGCAAAAAAAAAAAATCAAATCCGGCACTCGGGTAGGGATTTCGAACACAATTTTGGTCCCCGGGACGGGATTTGAACGAACCAACCTGCAAAAGTTCAAATGTCAAGGGGGATGTTGAAGCTTCAAATTGATCGACGCATTTAGTTCTGTATTAATTTGATGTTGACTAACGGTTATTTCTGATCTGAATGAATATTTACAGGCTCTTCAAGATAATCCAGATTTACTTGATATTCCTGGCAAAAGGTGAGGATATAACAATGCTAATTAATTTCCAAAGTATACAAAACACGTCGATGCCAATTGACCTTATTGATTCGGATTCTGGTCTACCCATTGCGTTAGTGAGTTACTTACTCATTCTCATGATTGTTAAACGAATTCTCCCAATCATCACCTGAGGAAATGTATAGAGAACAGTAGGGAGAATGTGCATAATGATGTTAAGTTGGAAAGTGTTAAGAGATAGATAGCCGCTTTCGTGGTGTAGCCAAACTTTCATTGCGAGCGAACCATGTGCACTGCCGCTATAATGTTATGAAACAGCACAAGGTACTTCACTAACTCACTTACTGTTCGTCAGGTCCAGATCATCCTTCAGTGAATCTGATCTCTCTGATGAACAAGTTGCTCAGGTGAGTGGATTATAATTCAATCATTGTTTATCGATAAAAAAAATGATTGAATCAAATATTGCCTTTACAATGAGCGGCAATGATTAACTTCACACTGTCTACTTAAAGCCGTTTGACACCTACATTGGGATATCGGCGCTAACTGTAAACAACAGAGGTTTCTACAGGGGCAATTTTTCTACAAGGCTCTTTTAAGGATTGTCTAGGAATAGAAAGTAAAATCAGCGTTCATTTTCGCCGTTTGCTACCAGTTGAAGTAGACGTCATTCCTGAACTCGTAAACTGCCTTGAATAGAAGAAACCAAATAGCAACGAAAATGACTTAGGGTGGAAAAGATGAAACCTTTAACCCCTAAGAATGACTAGCATCTAATTTCTCCCTAAATTATCAGCCCTAAATCACATTAAGGTCACGCCGAGAATGAAGGTAGTGATCACTAACTTGAAAAGTTCTTCATTGTTAAACGAATTCTCCTTGTCAACACCGAAGGAAATGTATAGAGAACAGTATGGAGAATATGCATACTAATATTAGGGTGTACAGAGTTAACGAGGGTTGAAAATGACGAACTCGAACATTAAGCCCGAATTTTTCAAAATGTGAAAATAATAACGTAGCGATCTTAAAGGCCATAATGAAACCTTTGCGCCCTTGTACAACGACCTTCCAATCTGATTAAATCATTCAAATCTCTGATATTTTTTCTCGTTTTCTAGGTCTAGTCCATGGGTTTCCCAGTCGAGTCTAGTAAGGAAGCCCTAAAGCGTTGTCTTGGTAATGTTCAGCAAGCTATAAATATGTTGCTGTCGACCGAAGGAGTTCTTCCTTCCTTATCACTACAGGCTGTTCAAGGTACTACTCATTAAAAAACATTTGCATTGGCCGATATTTCAAGGAGCAGATGCTATTTAACTGAGTTTTAACCGTCTAGTGTAAGAACTTGCCTAAGGAGCTGTCGCATTCAATATCAAATCGCGTACTAAAAAACCAGCCACTTACAAGGCTGATCACTTACTTTTTATTGACTGTCTTTTGTCGGGCACAGTTGCGTGAATCGATAAGAAATCGCCCCTAACTGTTGCTCCTCGTCAATTAGTTTGTATCAGTGTTTAATTCTCTACAAATAATTAGAGTCTGTCTCTAGATCAAGGGTGGAGGTAAAGAGTCACTTAGCTACTCAGGCATAGATGTCAGAAATGAACGACATTATTTTTAAAATTAAGGAATCATCAAGATCGAGCCGGTTTGCTTTCTGCGCCATTGCGCATAACCTTGGAGGTAATTTACCTGAATCAGCCATTGCAAGACATATTGTTCGTCCAGTCGAATTCTTTCAGGTAATATCTTCGACGCACCCTAACTTAAAGAGTACAGGGGAAGAAAAACTCAGGCTTCAAAAGTAGCGCTCAGAGGTTACGCTTTTTCAGCTTGTGTTTTTATCGTCTTGATGAAAGATGTCCTGACGTCATCATATTGAACACCACAAACCACAGGCCGCCAAACATCATACATCAAATTTCACCACAGAAACACTAACCAATCGGCTGAAGTTTTCAAATTAGTCGCGCCGCAGGAACGCACACTAAAATTAGATTTTAAAAAATATCATTGGAAGAGGGGTATGTATGTGGGATAAGTTCTATTAGTTGATGTTCTCTTGGTTATGTTATGATAAGTCTGGAAGCGTAAATTTAAGGATTCTGGAACGGATGAAAGTTTTGGAAGCAACGAGGAAAAAATGCCATCGCTTGGCGACAGTTTTCCTAAATTTAAAGATAGGGGTAACATTCCTAAAATTACGAGACTTTTATAGTTTTGGTAAGTAATAAACATTGTTCACGTTCGACCATGAAATGACGGCTAAAGGAAATATGCAAACACATTGAAGACAGTTATCTCTTAGTAACACCAATCTAGGTTTTTTAAAAAAGGTTTTAAAGTTGAAACGTTAATAGAAAGTTTGTTCGTGTGATGTAGTGCTAACGAACAGCTCTTTTGTCATTCATAAGTTGCTAAATGGAAGGAATGAACTGTTCATCATGAAAACGGAAACAATTGAGGTATCAATATTTTTCAAGTTTATCTTTTCTCTAAAACATCTCAGAAAGGGAACGTGTCCAGCTACTTGGTTCCGTAAATCAAGAGAAGTTTTATTCGATTATGGCTTTAAGAGAAAAGATCTCCACGAATTTGAAGGATACTGAATAGAAGCGATAGACAGGAAGCTATCTTGCTGTTTATTCGAATATGCATTTAACGTGCAAACAATTTCATGCAGCCTAGAGTTCGTCTATTGTAACTGATTCTGCTCAAATTTGAACAGACTATTTCTTGGAAGAGATCAGTCACACTTACAGCCACTTTGGCAAAATCCGTTTTCTTTCAACTCCCTAACAGACTCTGAATTTGTTTACTAATCTCGTTATTACGCAACCCGATCCTCCTCCGCTACCATGGCGCTGTTCAGTATCGCGCTTTGTTTTACGAACCCAACATCTGGAACAGCTACATTTAAAACTTCAGTACTTTTTCAGCATTTCGGGGATGTCCGCCAATGGTCGTTTTAACTTTGATATAAGAAGCGCAAAATTGGGGTAATTAGCGAGTGCGTTTGTTTTAACATATTAAGGTATGTGTAAGGTTTTCAATCGTAGAATTCATAACTTTGTTTATGTGACTTTATACAGCTGGTACAACTGGAAATGCAATTATTGCAAAAACGAACGAATGGTTAATAATGTTTTATGTTCATGGACTAAAAGGTTTGTTTAGCTATTCTTTTTTTGGAGTACAGACACTCTACCAATATAATTTTTAGTAATTCTGAAATTTTTTATCGGTTCTTTGGGATGTATATGGTCAACGCGAGTGAGTGAGGAGCCTTTACAACGAAAGAATACCTTATGATTTAAAGAAAAATGATAACATGTTTACTTAAAGTAATTATATCAAAGATCCTTCCTGCTTGCGGCAAATGTTTCGCGTCCTTCCTTCGGTTCAAAATTAACTATCTTCACCGCGACGCCTTCGTCATTGCTGATCGTAGCCGTGTCAACTACTTTTGTCTCACAGCTACCAGATATGAGACACTCACTCTCTACCGCACGAGGTCTCTGATGTTTAGTTAATAGAGAGAGCGACAGCAAAATTGGAAGCTCTGACGTTCTCAACCACTAGGGGTGGTCTTTTTTTTTTTTTCTTCGCTTCACTCTCGCGACAAAGGTTTTTCCTCATCCACCTTGGTGTTTCCAATTTGTGGCACAAATCCAACTCTCTTATGGAACTCAGACTTTATTCTCTGCCCCGTTCGTGTCACAAATTAAGAACATCCGCTTCATTCGACGACTGAACTAAAAATTTGCTATCTCTATGTTTACACTTACAAAGCTTTCGGTATTTTAAGAAGTATTTCTTGAAGAATTCCTTAGTTTTTCCATTGTCTTTTAGGTAATTTTCTTAGGTTTTCTTCTTTTTCTTTATTGTTCCTTTGCTCACAAGTTTACTCTTCTTATGATCCCAGCTGTTCAACAAGGCTGGTATGGTCTCCGAGCCTCGCCCTGCATCACTCTTTCCTTTATTAAAAATTATGATGTGCTCTCATGGTGAAGCATCGTGGCTACTGAGATATTGGTAACCCAACATATAACCAAGATGAATGTTCAATCATAAAACTTTGTTGTCATTAGACGAAGTAACAACACTGGCCCATATGAACAGTACAATGAGGGCTGAACTCTCAGCTTGCTAGCCGGCCTTCAAGGTCTCATCAGTGAACGGAGAACATGAGCTGTTCCGTAAACCAAGCAAGCTTAGTGACCTAACTCAGCTTAAGGGGGTTGTACACTCCACTTTACTGTACAAGTTTTTTTTCGGTATCTTTGGCATCAGGCTGCGCCACTGTATAGTTCTCCGTTCTTGAAACTTTCCTCTAACTCAATACTCTGCTAGTTGTTGTGTTTTCCGTAGAAAGCTAAACTTACTTCATTTTGGTTAATCGAGAAAAAGAAACTCGACTCTTTTTTGTTGTTTAATTTGCAGGTAAACAGAGTAGTTGTTCTTTATTGCGCAGAGTTAGAAACGTGCGAGTCATTTAGTAAATAGTGCAGTCTAAGACACTATAAATGGCATAATTCGGTTTGATTGTTATCCAGACAAGTTTTATCAGAGTTTCTTGAGTATCCTATCTGAATGCTCTTGCAGTACAAAATTCTTTTAAGAGCGGCTCGATAGTCTCTGAAGCAGAGAAAGTATATCACAGGATTCACTGCAGAATGCGACAGCGCTAGCAACAACAATCCGTCATGTAAGGCTCCGTGAGATGTCTTGGATACAGTCTGTCTAGCGATGGTCAGGGGAGCGAAGCAGAGAACAAAGACACCGATTGCCAGAGCCATAGTCTTAGCCACTTGTTTCTCCAATGCTTGGCTCTGGTACTGACTTCTTTGAAGTTCGGTTTGACTTCTTCTTTGCTCCCAAACAACGACAAAGATGTGTAAGTAACAGGCTGTAACGACAACAGAACAAGTCACAGCTGCCGTTGTTGAAAAAATCGTAATGAAAGCATTGTCGTCGAATGCAGCAACGGCGCCATACATCAACGAACACGTCCAGGTAATGGCAAGAACGATTCGAATGCGCCGTGTTGTGATGTAAAATTTGTGCCTCAAAGGCCTAGAAATCACAACAAAACGCTCAATACTCACCCAGCTTAAGATGAGCAGAGAGGCGCATGAGGACAAAGTAAGAATGACCCTGCGAGAATACAGAACTCCCTGAGATACGCAAATTCCGTGTGTCTTTTGGACTGTCCACGCAGAGTTAAGCGGCAGAGCAGCAGTGCAAACCAATAGATGTGCAATAGTGAGGTTTCTGATGAAAAGATTTGACACTGAATGCAATCTCGACGAAGAGACGAGAATAAGAACGTTGAAAAAAGTGCCGAGTATGGTGGTGATTATGTTGGCGATGGTGAAAAACACTCCAGTGGTAAAATGGTAGCTGCAACCTCGGTCAGACATAACAGAATAGTTACCATCCATTTGTGATCTCGCTTTTCTTCTTTGCAAGGTAATCCTCGATCAAACCATTCAAATCTTTTGCCTCCCAAACCAGCATTGAGATGAAAATGAACCATTTAAATAGGTGTTAGCAAGTCGCTTCGTAGTTATTGTCGCAAAAAGCAAACAAAAGGTCTTTATTGAAGGAAATTTTTTTATCCATTAACAAGACAATACCTTCTGTGGATTTTTACTCGCTGCCTTGAAAAAAGAAGTGTGTGAAAATGAACAACCCACGGTTAAACAAGTACCGGAAGGAAAAAGCATTTATTGTCAGAACGTTAAGGCATTCATAAAGATTCCCTTTCAAAAAACTGATCATTGTTTGTGCTTGCGAAACTGTCAAGCTTAGGTTTTAATCATAACTTATTGCTTTATTAGGAATAAATTTGGGATTTTATTTGCAGTTTGAAAGCTGCTCTAGCTTTGTTATACAAAGTATATTTGTATAGACTCTTTTGATAAAAAAAAATGTGTATATGTATTGAAGACTGGGTAATGTTGATTGAGCACATGGGAAAGTGATGGACAAGGTTCTCGGTGTCCAGCATTGAAATGAATTTCATTCCATTTCCAAAGCGCACCAGGATAATGCAGGGTTATTATCCTGTTTCTATTTCCTTGAATGCTTTTATTTTGATTAAAATTTATTTTTCTCTTAACGAAGGAGACTTGAATGATAAACTGGTCTCTTCCACACACAAAATTTTGTTTAAAAAATTAATCATTTTTGTTCAGATGAACAAATTAAGTCTGCATCACACCCGAAGTGTGAAGCTAGAGCTTATGAAGGAAGTTTAAAGAGGATATAAGAAAAGTTAGTTGGTTATGTGTTTTTTCCATTGAATACGATCATCTGAATACGGGCCTGTTGTTCTCTGAGTACCTAGGAAGGTGATGAATAATCGTCAAATGATAATCTTTGGAACTTTCCTTGTCCCTCGGTATTCGAAAATGTTCGAGAATTCATTTGTGTAACACAAACGTCGTCCTTTATGTGTAGTTCCTATTGATGTGGTTTGCTCTTTGATTCCGAATTTGGGGGGCACTTGCCAAAAATTCATTCAGAAATTGTAAACTGCTCAATACAAAGTGTTGTAAATTAAATGAGAATAGCTTCCAAGGAGGAGAGTTACTCAAAAAAGCCACAGTAATTTACTTGAAGCAGGTGTGGTGATGGTATAGCGCTAGGTGTGCATTATATTAGAGACTCCACCTGATGGATAATATAAATTCCAAAGTAATGCTGAATACATGTAATCTCTGTTATAAATATTTGTTTTTACTGGAACAAGCGAACAAGCGAATAAAGTATACATAAATCTCTTTCGTGGGTGGCGAGCAAAATTGCTACTCTCTCAGATCAAGTTAAGGGCCTCCTGAACCTCGTTTTGAGTGAAAAATATCTTACTTTTACATGTGACGTCGAGAAAGACTGTGGAAATAACAATTAAGTACGCCATTTATGGGGAGATATACTGCCTCACTGATGATTGGTGCGCAAAAACTGCATTGATTGTCTGAATTGCACAAGTGCTGTGTCCATTTAATGTTTATTTCTCTTAGAATGCTTTTACACCCGCTTTATTTCTCGAAGAGGGTGGAGGAGGGTTGGAAAATATGTGACATTCTAATAACGGATCAACATTCTAGAGCTCTTCTTTCCAATGATTTTTTCTCTTTCGTGTTTCAGGCAACGGCCCAGAAAGCGAAGATGAAGAGGACCAAGATCCAGATGTTGAAGAAGCTTTTAATGAATTAGTGCCAGTCCTCGCTACTGAAGATGATGAATCTTATTTGAAAATGTCACTGGAGGAAGAAACATCTATTATTGTCGAATACAGGAAAATGATTTTATCTTCTGGCTACAATGCAAATTCTGCTTCATTTAAATCCTAATTTTGAATAACTCTCTTAAACCTCTCTTTTGAAGTTTTATCCAATCGCGGCATTTATATTGCTAAGTAGAGTAAACGTGAGATTTAAGTTACATGCTTATCTTCGCTTCGATTATAAAAACTTGTATTTAAGCGTGCTGGCCTGAAATAGCGGAGCTCGCAGAGCGTAGCCCCATAATTATACCAAGTAGTAGTAACCCATCAAGCCGAAAAAATTTGGACTTACGACCCTACGACCGTACGACCGACCGTACAAGATGCTACTTTTAACATGCGTGGTCAACTGTACCGCGGGCACACCAACGCCACGGCTTTGTCCAGTAGTCTAGTGGCCAGTGCACTTAGCTCCGAGTCGGATGACCCGGGTTCTAGTCCTGGCCGGGGCAAGGCGTTATGCGGGAAAATAATGCTAGCTCTGCTTTTAGGCTTGGCTAAATCTATATATTATGGTCAAACTAATTTAACCAAAAAAAAATTATTACCGAGCTAAACATTTACCATGTTTCTTATACTATTTACAAACATGACACGATCGAAATCGTTGATCTCAGCTATACAGGACGCGTGTCATGTATGAACTTCGTGGATCAATATTTGTTCCTGGGAAACCGAGCTCGACATCGATACCAACGTTGAGTACTTCGTAAGTCTTTGTTAGGAAGTGGGGGAAATGTATTGAAAAGATAAATTATCCCATTCTAACGTTTTTCGTTGAAGCGTTTCTCTTGCTCCAAGATAAGGACGCTCTTCCTTTCGCTCGCGCGCGTTCGGGCTTTTTCTTCAACACTTAGAAGGGTCAGATTCAACAATTTGCATTGAGATATTACTTTAAACTTTAACTGTAATTTTTTAGAAGGGTTTTCATCATTTCATATGAAATAGCTCAAGAAAAAAAGCCCCTGACATTGTTATACCGTTAATTGTTCGAGTCATTGTTTTGACTTTTCTTTCTTCCTTCCTTTCTTTCTTTCTTTCTTTCTTTTTTTTTTGGACCATAAACACCGCCACGAAAAATATTCAGCCATTGGTACAACAACATTCATATCGTAGAATAATTCTAAAACTTTATTAGTTATATAATTACAACTGAATCACCGATCTTTTGAACTCTTCAATCACGTTTTATTTTTTCACACTCTGATTGATTCGCGTTAAACCACTGGCAATAATTTTACTTCCAACAAGGCCCCGACCACACTTCGCGGTTGCTTTGAAAAACGTCACTGCGCTCTCACAACGCAACAAAAGAGTTGTTTCCACGCATGAAAATGAATGAATTGTTTTAGCAAATATTATTATAATGATCACCTACGGCAAAAAACTCAATGCATTCAGGTCATACGTAAAGCCCTTCTTATCCGCGAAATCGAAAAGATCTGTATTCAAAATGAGGTAAAATTCGAGTTAAAATCATATTAAAAATTCTTCTTTTCGTTAGAAAATCTTCTTAGACCAGAGTGGACAGTACACTTAACATACGAAAATCTATTCAACGAAGTCATGGATGTAGCTTGATTGTTTCTCGTTCTTATCGTTACCGAAATTCAAAGTAAAACTGATAGAAACTTAAAAAGGGTGGTGCGTATTTAGAAAAACGGATTATTAACTAAATATCGATTGGCAAACACGGCCAAAAAGTTCTGCATGGCTTGCTGAGGGGTTCCCGCTCTCCACTGCCGCCACATTTGCTCGTCGAGGTAGGACAGCATGTCTTCCCTTCTTAGTCCCCAGCGTGTTTTCTGGCCCAGTTTTCAACTGTTCCAGTAGGACTCGATTTCTTGAGTGTGCACCCCAGTGACTGGATTCACGAAGTTGAGTCGGTGGACCACCACGTGTTGTGCACTTGCGTTGTTTACTTTTCGGTCCATCTGTCGGTAAGAGGCCCAGTCATCTGAGCGCACTTCCGTTCCAGGGCGAACACACCTTGAAATGATGGGATGGAGGGCAGTCATATCCCGTCTTTCCATTACCTGGAAGAATGAAATGAATGATTTTTACCTGGATAATTTTTGTCCTTTTAATGTCTCTCTTGGGCTCTATCCCAGCTGTGTGCGATTATCATTCAGCTGTATGAACTAATTGCTATTCAGAGCGATCTGAGTACTTTTTGTTGTCACATTCCCATCTATTTCGCTTTCGAACAACATATTCCAGAGGATCAAGGCTTTGTAAGTAGTTCTAGTATATACTAAAACAATGAGATAATATAGAACAAAAAAATGGTCTTTTTAAAATTCATTTCATCTTGTAACGATTACAATAATTTTTTCACAGTCCCAGGTCCAACCAAGGGCGTGATTAGCCTGGCCTGGAGGTCTCTCGAGCAGACATCCTGTAAGTGCCCACAAATCTTGCTTACCTAGCTTGCATTCAAACCAAGGTGCCTGGAAATTCGTCGCTTAGAGTCCACGGCAGAGAAAAAAATACACCGTCAGCAGGAGTTTATCAAGTAGAACTCTGGGGAACTCCTCGAAAAAACTGTTTGATCTCACACTTCTTTTTCTGCATCCTCTGCAGCGCCTGTACAGTGTTGGAAAGAAAAGACCCTTTATCACTTTTGGACATATTGAAATGGCCGGTTTCAACTTTGGTCATAAATTGAATAATATGAAAGTTGTTACAATATTAGATGAAAAAGAAAAGGATTAAAGGGCATTCGTGCCAATACACACCCACGACAAAAGAGGCACTAAAGCTAGTAATCGATAGTAAGCTCCCTTATAGTTTATTTCAGAAGAGCGCCTCTTTCCTTACGTTATTGTTGTTTGATGAAATACGAAGTACATTTGTCCCAGCCCTTTCATTAATGAAATAGAGTACAAAAGATGCACCAAATAGGGAGGGTCCCAATGGGGAGATGGTACTTGAGATTAAAGGTTAAAATTTTAGCAAGGTTACGTTGGGCGCATCCTGATGGATTGACTAAAAGGTTCTTGTTCTAGTGCCATGGTATAAAATTCATTGTGGGACCTTGCTCTAAGGCGGCATACTAACGTAAGGCCATGTTTTTTTTCTCTTTTCCTTTGTAATTTAGTCAGACAGCGCTTGCAAATACAGTTCTAAATCTCCATGATTCTGCGAGGT